CGGCTTCTTGTAACGGTACTTCAGCTGTCTTTTCATCGAGCAGGTTCCAGAACGTGTCCCTGGTTTGCTCGAAGCATCCAGTCTGCGGAGCATACGAGGAGAAGAGATGGTATTTTTGGCGTTCGATGACTACCACGATCTTCATTAGGCGGTCATCGAAGCGTCTATCTCTATCGAGTCACGGAACCGCTCAGTGACAATTATCCCGACGCCGTTGGTGGTTTTGGAGTCACCACAAAGAACGGTTTTGAAGCCGAGGCCAATGTCTCTGGACTTGCAGCAGGACCACCTCGTTTCCTGCACGGCACAGAAATCAATTCATCGACGCTCTAGAGCTTCTGCTAACTCGTACAAGCGTCCCGTTAAAGTGCCAACATTTAACGTCGCAACGCGGGTCTTCAGACGTTGCGTGGCTTTCGGACTAGCTTAGTTGCCCCACGATGCCGTAATTGCACCGGAGAACCTCGCATACTTTTCACACTCATCGGGCCTTGTGAGTGCGCGTCGGCTCCCGGGATGCCGTAGCATTACATCGAAATTCTTTAAGTGACACTAACATTTTGATGTGACGGGGGTGTTCGTGGGCCGGCCTGTCACGGGGCCTGTCGCCTGTATTCGAATGTACGTGGTCAGCTCAGCCCACAGAGTGGGCAGTTTCCAGTGGCTCCTCTTGGAGGAACGGACTTCGCCGCCCATTTATTCACTGCGATGTGAACTATATGTGCTATACTGTTGTTATGTTGAAACTACTATAAAACTTGGTTTTTTGCCTTCACATCCGCCGCGACAATAGATAAATGAAATGAAACATGTGCCTTCATCAAATGAATCAGGGTTACTCCACTGTCCTACGAGTCGAAACTATTGACAGATTTTTTCGCTTAATGTGCCATGCTGAGCAAAAGGTTGGTAAGAAGGAATTTTAAAGAATCTCTTCAAACATAATCTAGTGTACCTTACTGAATGATGTATATTACTGCACGGTATTTTCGGTATCACAACCACTAGTCAGGTCGTCCAAACTCAATTCTCCCGGAGTAAGTTTAGGAGTGAAAGCCTCATACGTCCTGTGGAGGGGTGTTCAAAAAAACTTTACAAGCAGTCAGTGTGCGAAAAGACAGTATGGTAAAGACATTACAAAATACAAACTACAGACTCATTACAAAAGACAATTCTTCATATTCTCAGCTGACTAAAGGAACAGTACTCACGGCTTTAGTCCGCAGTGAAGCGAGTTCCTTTCGCGCCTTTGAGAGCGCAATACGTGTCTCACACAAATTGTCTTCGACATCTTTCGGGGCACAGCTGCAGAGCTGAAAACAGGACGACTCGGCAGTTTTCCATAACCTTTTTTCAACAACTACTGAGCAACATTAAGCGCTTCTTACCTCGGATATTTTTTGTCGCAATTGTTCTACCTCTCCCACTAGTTGCTTTTCAGTATTGATAGCTTGCTGAAGAGCTTGAGTAGTCCGATCAAGATCTCTTTCTTTCATTCTAATTTCTTTTTCCATTGACATCGTAGACTCTTCTTCCGATTTTAATTTTGCATCCACAGTGTCACTAAAAAAATGTAGTATTTTAAAAAGTATTTGCCGAAATCCCCAGCACTCAAAAAAAGTAGTAGATGCTTTCTTACTCTAATCTTGAGATAGCGCAGTTTAAATGCTCGGGTAGGGAACCTCGTAGATAGCGGTGTGAAAAAAGCTGCACAGAAAGCACTTTCCACAAGGTTTTACGGACATTCTAACACTTTGAATATCGCTAGGTGGTATCGCAACTTTAGTGGTGGGCGATGTTTTGTAAGACCATCGAGTTCTCGCCTTTCCCCTCCTTAAAATTGTTCCTCATCTCTAAGCGTTAGCCTACCGTAATTATTGGGTTGGTTGAGGTCCGTAAAGTTCTATATTTCGTTATTTACAACGATTTTTTTGCTGTTTGAAGAATGAGGCGTTGGAACTTTTGCACGACGTACGTCTAACTAAGTTCTCCACGCACCTAGGCGCGAGGTAACATTAGTTAAGCGCGCTTCGTGATCATTATGCTATCTGCATGTCGGTATTATTGAATTAATGATTGCTAAGTGATGAGAGTAGTGGCAGTAAGGGAAAGAAGCTCCTGTGGAAAATCAGGTTTCAAAACACGAAAAATATTACATAAATCAAGTATATTAATTCCAATGGTTTTATTTCCGTGCAGAGTGAACAAATATAACATACTTCTGGCCAAAGTTCCTGTAATATGAAAAAATAGCATGGCTAGGGACTCCTATATAATATGGACTGTGGTTACCCCACAACTTCGTGGTCATTAGCTCTTGAAAATAGAAGAATGCTTGTACGGAATACAGAATATATTGAATTTATATATTTTGCACGAGAATAACTGACGACCTTATCACTGATACTGACTACTGATGTTGGAAGTTTTCCTGTTCGAAACCTATTTTCTACGAGACCTTCACTTTCTCACTCCTTCGCAATAGTTGGTAACTTTTAACTCTGTTAATAGCGACATGCGGGTAGCACAATGACCATGGAGCCTTTGCACGTATTGGCTTTTTTTGGTCGACAAAAAAGCCGTTGTAAACAACAATATAGAAAAAAAACTCTACGAACTTTGACAATTGACCTAATAATTGAGGTAGTCTGGCGCCGTGGTGCAAAGTGATCTCAACGATGTAATGTGTGTGGGGGAGGAGGAGGTGGGCATACACTTAGACTTATCCATGGACAGTCACCCTTCTTTTATCTTATAATAGAAGTGTGAGCAAACGGAATATTCCAATCTTGTGTACTGGAGTAATTTTGATTTTCTGACGAGAAATCTCATTAGAGATGTCAATTCTTTACAAACTTTTTTCGGCTTCTTTCTGTATTGGACTGTTTCCGTATTGGGCTCCGTTCTGTATTGGACTAGACTCTAAGCGACGAACGACGACGAACATTACATCGCTCTCAATGAGGTTGTTTGATATCACAGATAAGCAAATATTCACCTTCGCTTCATATTTCACATTTCACTGTTCCGAAAAAATAACCTGTGATATGAGAGTTTTTTTAGTTCAAAGAGCTAGTTCTCTACATGGTTTGATCTTTTCACTACTTTGTTCTCCCCAGAGATTCACTTTTATTCACTCGATATTCTCACGCTAGGAAAGCAGAGAGTATACAAATAGTCAAGAGACGCCTCTCTTCGAAGGCTCTTGAGCTGATGCGCGTGAAATCGCGCGAGTCCGATGACGCGAAGCTGCGCAGAGAAGCGACAAGGGAGGATCCTCAGGCAAGAAGAGCAGCAGCTGTGGTCGATGCCGCCGAGGCCGGGAAGAGCACTCGCAGAGCCCGACGAAGCTTCGCTAGTTGCAAAACCAAGAATAATTCCCTTTGTCGTCCTGACGGAACACTCACTGCGTCTTAGCAATGGAGAAAGTATTACTATTCCTACTCACAAGGGAAGGATACTTGGTCGCAGTGGCCATTCAAGATAAGATGTATACTGCCGTAGGTGGTTTCGAACGCTGATCTCAAATCTGTGTTACAAATCTGCTAAACGATTCTGGGAACAAAGTTATGGGACCAGTCCCTCCCTGTGTTATACCACTGCGATGAACGGATCACCGAGCCGAGCAAACCCCTTACCTGTGCAATGGTGGCCTAGCGGATAGTGTGGTGGACTGATAGGTGTGACATCNTTTTTGGGCTCAATACCGGACACCTAGAGAGCTAACTCACATTTTCGGAACATTGGAAAGGTATAACAGGGAAATTTTTTTTTGCCCTCACCATCCCAATAAGGTTGGAGCTCTACTCGAACAAAAGAGGAATTCTGAACAACCGCTCAAAATGGGCTCCAGGAGCTTCAGGAAGAATGGTTCCAAGTGATTCATCATATCAAACGCTCTTCAGCATGTTGCCAGCGAAGTATTCTGGCCAAAGGTGGTGCCATCGCATTTGATGGAGGACTTTCGTTCTTACAGCATAACGTGGGCGCCATCTTGGAAGAGGAGGTAATAAAGAGTGCCGTGTACGGAAATTTAGGGCAAGTCTGAATGAGTTTTCAAATTAGTCTATCTTCGACAAAGTGTGATGTCCTATCTGGTCGGCACTATCAGGTGCGAACAAGCAGACAGATCTGCCTTCCTTTAGAGATTAGCGGATAAGTTGGGA